AAAGATGGTTTGATTTTCGTACTCCAGAGACCTTATGTCCAAGAATAGGAGAAGATGTTATAGACCTATCTTTTCAAATGCTTGTCTTTAAGTTTGGCGCTAAGATTTTGCATAGAACGTTATAAAGTTATCTCGTTTTTCATCATTCTTGCAGGCTGGAGAGAAACAGTGGCAGTGAAGGGAATTCTAGAAAATTCAATATTAGAAATAAATAATTACATTTAGAATTCAATTATTTTAACGAATGTTTTTGAATCCTTCTCAATAAACATTTTTAAACTTAACTATATACAGCAATATTTGTTTATTTATTTTGGAAAGCTTTATGATACTAATTCCAGTTTGTTTACTTTAGATCTACGTCTTTTTCTTTTAGAATTTAATAGAACAGGACCTCAAAATATGCATACCGTCATAGAATTTATCAAAATTACAAGTGCTAGATTCTATAAAAATGTCAAAGAGCATGAAAACACACTTTATAGAAAGACACAATTCATTTCCTTTGAAAAATATCTACAATTCGAGAGCATTTTTATTATTCTAAAAACATGCAATTATTATCCCTCAAACTTCCATTTAAGACCTAGGAAACTGTATTTTTAATCTTAAATTACAAATTTTCACCAACAAATACGATATTCCAAGGTTTCCTGTTTCCATTCGCTCCCACATACACCCTCATAGCCGTAACAAAAGTTAAATACATTGCTACATTGCATGAAGCAAAACAGAGAATTTAAACTCTCTGGTTATCTCCTTTCCAATCAAAAAAGAAATGTATATGATCTGAGGGAATTTGATTTGACATTTCTAATACTTCTCAGTACTCTGTGGGTAAAGATGTCTTCTCGGGTGATTTGGAATTTAACTGAACGAACTTAAAGCCAATGTCTGGGGGAATCAATATTTGCCAAAAGATGGCGATACTGCGGCGCAGTGGAATTCTTTTGAAAAGTGTTCGATGCATGAAATGATTAAAAATAAATTTAATTAAAAGAAAAGTCCAGTTTTGTTTCGCTTGGTGGAATTTTTTTCCAAAATTTATTTGATTTTTAAACAGTCTTTTGAATCTGATTAATGATTGGTAAAAATTTTTAATTTTGAAACATAGTTTATTATGCACGAATACTGCTGAAGGTTGGAAGTACAGTAGAATCTATACAGTGTGACTCATTGTTATAATTATTGCGACAACTGTACCATGGCTTGAATTTGCGCTATTATTTTAGCAAATTTCAAGTAATTTTCTGAAATTTTGAGAATATCAAATATATCCGCAAAATTTTTCTAAATTTTTAAAAAATTCTAGTGTAATTGGTAGCACAGATAATTTTGACATCTGTCTAACATTTTGCTATTTTTCATTAGAATTTTAGCAAATTACTCTGGAAAGTAATCTTGTTCCAAAAGCTAAACAAGGACGTTGAATTACTCTAAGGTTTTGTTGGATGCAATTTCTATGCCGTAGACCCCTTTTTTACTTGCTGTTTAATGAAGAAAATTTGTGTGTTTATAATATAATGCGTATGAAAATACCATTCTATTAAATAATAATTTTAATTTAAACCATCAATGCTGAATACGTTTCGAGAATTTCATTGTTTTATAAATTTAAATTTCAATTCAAAATATATAATGCAATGTTTACCTAGTTACGAATAATATTCCCCCCCACCCCCAAACGGGGCGTAGTTATTATATGCACCGCACGATTACCCGGCAATTTTACCTTTTTTCCCCTCCGATGAAATTGCTGTCTATATTACTAAAGTTATGGTAACGATAAATGAAAATACAAAATATTTTTGCCTGCCCATTTTATGCTAAAAATGATGATGTTTTGAACTTATTTTTAGATGCCGCTAAATAAAACTTTTTAATAGTAATAACAATAATTAATTATACACTTACAGTCTTTGTCGGAAAAAATACTTATTAAAATCATTGCAACTAGGAAGTCAATAATTATGGCAATAATAATAAAAAATTCCATTTTTATCAAATAAATATAGTTTTTTTTTCTTTATACTCATATGAATAAACTCCGAGTATAGGCTAATTAAGTTTTTTTATTTTACAGTTTTTATTTTTTTCAGCTAATGATATAATGGATATAATGTCACATCATCATTGTTTTACAGCAAAGATATAAACACGCTGTCTTCCTACTTTTAATTGCATCTGAATCGTTTGCCTTAAATAAATTTTGTCCCGTAGCGTTCGAGCACAAATGAATACAAAGCAGGCACGTTTTCAAAATTTCAAGGTCAAATGTTTTAGAATAAAGTTTATCTAATCCTATTCGAAACTAATTCTGATCCTAACTTCCGTTTCGTAGTATACTGCATTTAATATTTCTTTGTTATTTTTAACTTAAATTTTGAACTCAATCTGAATATGATACATTATATCATAAACTCGAATTAAATACGAGTGTGGATCGCTGTTTCATTTTCAAAGAGTAAATTTAGTAAATAAGGAGGAGGGGAACTATTGTACAAGATTTTCTCCCTCATTGAAACCTAAGAATAATGTTCGCATTCAGAGTAGTTCAGGGATACTAAGCTCTAATACAGACCAAATCACCGAGCAGAGATTAAGAGAAAGAAAGAAAAGGGGGGGGGGAATCCCAGTTGTCGCAGATTTCAGCTTAACTGCAAAATCTGAACCACAGCAATCGAATCTTAACATCTTAATATTTATAAAATACATATAAAACTTTTTTCCAGGTTTGAGGGTTTGCATAGAAGGCCACAAGGAAAAACGAATAAAAATAAATAAATAAATAACAAAATAGTTAATAACTGAAATAGTTAAAGAACTAAAATTAAATAAAATGTGAAGAGATAAATAAAAAAATATAATGTAATTTATGTTAAATTAATGATAAATAATTAAACAATAACATGATATAGTAGACCTTATCTTATTTGTGGCTCCAACTGGAAATACAGTTGCACTCAAAAACTAAGAAATAGCAGAGTCGACTTCCATCTGAATTTGAATTAAAAATCAAAATATATAGTAATGTTCTCTTTCAAGGTATGGTAGGAATAAAGACCGTTCTCTTTACAGACTTCAGTGGAAAAAGATAAAGCGGTTAAATTGTCGCTAACGGGAATACAGAAAATCTTAGAAACAGTAATTGAGTATGGAAGATCTTTAAAGGAGGCTATAAAACAGAAAGAAAGAGAGGAATCCAATGATTTCTGACCTCAATATATAATACATAATTCTAGCTGTCAAACAGAATATAACAGAGGGAAAAAAACTGTCTTTCGAGTACGAGAATCGAAATGTGTTGAAATGGTTTGTAAGCAGAGAATGAAAACGTAAGATTCTGTACATGTGGCCATTTTCATTTCACATATTTGCTTACATAATTCCGAAAAAATCTGCAAGTGCTGTTTCTCATGGGAAGTTGCTAGTGTTGAAGTGTTTGAGTGAACGTGATATTTAATAAATAAAGGGGTAACACACAAAATGTTTAAAAAAAAAAAAAAAACGCCCCTTTGGATGGAATTTAAAATCTGAAACCTATCAGATTTTATTATTATTATTATTACCATTATCATTATTAAAAGAGCGTGACTAATTCAGTCTGCAAAATGTTCCAGACACTGTTCTGGACTTATCTTTTAAATAATTCTGTGCATTTAACACTGATAATCAATTTGTTAGTTAATCTGTTTAATACGCAATCTAATCTAAACGCAAACCAGTCAGCTGCCAGTCGCTACAGTAGAGTCTCCCCACTAGAGCACCAACGCTCCAATCAACGTCTTTACAATCTTAACATGGAAAAAATTTTCGGAGTTTAAAACCCAAACCAGAATTTACTGAGAACAATAAAATGAGGAAAATAATTGTTGTGCAAAGTGTTAATTACTTCTGCAGATTATTAATGCAGTCATATAACTTCATAATATCGGAAGAATTTTTTGACTTCAAATAGCAGTTGGTTCTTATTCTGGATTCTGAACTGTTAAAGAATAAATTCGAAATGATTAATCATTCGAAACATTATTATTATAATATTACATTGTTTCGCCGAGATCTAAAAGTAAAATAAAGAAATCCATTTACAGGCTGATATAACTAGTATGTGATCTGAATTAAGTTATAAAACAAATAGATGGTCGGTGATGTATGGGTGGTAAATGAAAATTAATGTTGCCAATATTTTTTTTCAAACTTTGACGGTCTAACAAAATTGATATTAATGTTCGCAAAGAATTCAGACGTAATTAGAGAAATGACGAAAATAATTTGTAGTCTAACAAATTAAATCACGTAATTAAGAAACATGAACATTGGAAAACAACTTTACAGAAAAAAACTAAAGAAAAAGAAGCCATTTTTAAAATCATTCTTTGCCGCAAACAATAGCTGAAATGAAATTAACACATTACAGTTTTCCATTTCAATCATGCAAAACAACAAAAACAACAAAAAAAAAAAAATTTCATTCGTTTACAGCCATTACAGTTGCAGTTAATTTTTCAATGTCCAAAATTAAAGATAAATGAGCGTTACTGCAACGCGGCGAATGTCAACTAGACTTGATGATATTTTTTCGCTAATAACTTTACTAAACATTAATCATTCTTTAAAACACGATTTCAGTGCGCCCCAAATGGAACGACTTTTTTATTGTTATTATTCATTCTTTTAGCTAAACAACGCAATTAGAAACCGTCGCGGTCGGAGCTAACTTCATGAAGATCGACGGCGGAAAAATTTATCCGCATTTTAGTGGACAGAGGTAATCAACAAAATGCCGTTTTCCAAATCGCCGTTTTCTAATTGGAGGAACTGTTTCTTCTTTAATACTTTTTTTTTCAGCTTAAAATGCCTCTCAACTCGGCTCGTTTATCTCCTGCAATCTGGGCTGCTAACGACTGCATTTAGAACGTTGTTAAACGCATTCTGTGGCGAACGCCCCGCCTAGGTGAGTTACAGCCAATAGCAAACAAGATATTTTATGACGTCGAATAAATGCCCCGCCTCTATGGAAGTTGGCGGCGGGGTCATACGGCTGACAGACTCCAGTACATTCCCGATAGCAGTGGGTAAGAATCTTAACGCAGTTCATCTTCAAGAAAGCTGTATGAACCGCTTTTGATTGAACCGAGAACTTTTATCATTCGGAAAATCCGGATAACGAGGTATTGCTTTTCAATTAAACATTTTAATTGTTCAATTATTGCTATTGGTATTATTTGATCTTTTCCATTTGCAACAATAAATTTCAAATGAATGGAATAAAAATTTAGCCAAACTTTTAAAACTCTTTTTAAAGTTTGAAATCTGTCGTTTAACGCACATGTCCTTAAACACACTACTTTAAACAGAACTTTATATAGAAATATTTTTTTCTAAATTCAATGTTGAACGTAATTAAAAAAATTAATAACTGAAAGTGATTCTATATTGATTTTAAAGTTTATGCAATAATCTCATATTTATGTCTATCCAGGATTTTTAGACAATTCACGTTTAAAAATAATGTTTATTTTTCTGAAATATAGATAATTAACGACAAAACAAATATGATATAAACAAGAAGAGAAAAGTGTTTTTACGATTCATACTTTCGCAAAGATATTTCAAGAATATAACTTTTGTTTGAGAGTGTTTTTATGAAATTACTATTTAATTGAATAAATCAGTTAAAAATAATAAACAAAAAAATAATATTACATATTTTTAAAAATAGATGACAGAGTTATTTGTATATAAATTTTGTTCTTATAGCTTAAATACATACTAAATGTTTTCTAAATTTTATTCTTATAATGTAAATATACCATAAATTTTTCTTAATTATTATTTTTTTTTATTTCATTCTTTCCTATTTCTAACAAAGATTTCCTATTTCTTTTTCTTCTGGTAGAATAAATACAATAAAAAACTCAATAAAGTCAAATTTAGTTATGCAAGTTTTCTCAAATCAAATTAACTTTGAAAGACTATAATAAATAATACTAGCAATCTAGACAGACTAAATTATGATACAATTAGTAAGTTTTATATACATCTAAATTTAGATTAAACTTTAACATAAATCAATGACTGTACTTTTTTTTTTGGGGGGGAGGTTAATATTCGTAAGCGACAAATTGACTCCATGTTCGTATTATTTTATTTTTTAAAACTTTAAGTTGCATTGGTATGATTCAACTGCTTTCTTAAAGAAGATTTTGGTATATTTACGTGTTATTTAATGACGAATTGGACTTCTCCCGATTAAATTGCTTAAAACATATTTATTTAAACTTATATGTACTTAATTTTATAACAATTATTAATTTATCATTAAAATTTACTTTGTTGCAAAGTTAACAGTACTACAATTTATTATAATCACAAATTTTTTAGAAATAGGAGATATTAGATTATGTAAGCTGTATTTTATGAAATAATAGAAATTTTCTCGGATTTGCACTAATTTAATAGTATTTGTGACTAAATTTGTGATAATAACTGTATTTTCAAATTATTTACATAACTTTTCTATACTTATTAAAAGGTAAATTTTTTTTAGAAAAGATTATGTTACAACTGCACACGTTAATTTTTGCAGAAATTTTATTTAAAAACTGTAATTATAAGTTTATTTATTTAATTTCTATTATTCGGAAATAAATCTTAAGAATATGTATGACAACAACAATGGAAACAAGATCTTGGAAGGAGTTTCCTCTTACTAAGTGTACCAAGTTATCAAAGCCGAAAATAAATTTTTAGAAGAGTTATTTATTTTTAAAAAATTTTATGTCTATGTTAATTTATGTTTTTTTAAAAATTAAATATTTCACAGTTTTGCACAATGTATGCAATGTAACATGCTTACTGTAGCAAAATTTATTAAATCTTTTTCCTAAAATTTATTGTTTTTAAATACTATAGAAACGTTATATGTACTCTCTTAATTATAATATTTAAAATTCATCTAAAGTTCAGTTCTTTTTAAATAAATTATCATAAAATTAAAGAACACGAATAAAAAATAATTGAATACATGAAAAATTTAATATTTGGCTATGTACTTGAAATAAAAAAATTAAAAAAAAAAAAAAAAATTTAAAAATGGATAGAAGAATATTTATTGAAACTTATAAATGAGTTACTAGACAATTACACAACTTTGTTTTCGAAATGGAAAATAAACTTCTTTTGATTTACAGAAAAGACGTGATAATATATCGAATATGTTTTTCCATGTAATATATATTTTAAAAGTTAATGATAACTAATATCTATTAGTCTTAATAATTATGAAATAATATTCAGGTAATTATTAGCACTTTAGTGTATTGTAACCTTTTAACTAAGCTTAATAATTCACAGATAATCTATGTAGACAATTAGCTATTTTTTTTTGCAGTTGCAGGTTATGTATAAATTTAATGTACTGTAGGCGCCGCTTAATGCTATCACGTTCGTCCACGGCTATTTTTATAACATTAAATGATGAGAAAAGATTTCTTCAAAAACAGCAATTAACTAGGAAAAATGTCATTAATAGTGGATTATCTGCAAGCCTTATGCGGTTATAAACTGTGTCTAATGTTTCTAGAAATCATTTAAACCTATGTTTTACACCTAATCTTAATATTCGGAGGATGTAACTTATATCAGCTTTACAGGAAATTCACCAATTTTATCTTTACATTTTTTAGAAAATTTATTACGCCATGTGCTTGGATTTGTATGAGAAAAAAAAAAATGGTAGATACCTTCTGTTATCTTCTTCGGTTTGAAGAAGGGAGACCTGTGTCTGATCGTTCCCGAAATCAACAGAGTTGTTAAATGTCTGTGATAAAATAAGCAAAAGGTTGACTTTTTACTTAATTTCAGATGGTTGACTGAGATGAAAATTTATCCCTTACTTGACGACATTTATAATTCATTTGGCAGCTTTTAAAATTTATTTAGATCGTATATTTGGAGAGTTTATTTCGGCTTGAAAACTCATTTTGATCATATTAACCGAATTATTAATTCCAATAAGAGATGCATTTTCCATTTTTTTGCATATGCAGGTCTTGCGCATTCCATTAACAATATCCGAACGGTAACATTAACCGCGATCACACAAGATGGCGTCTACTGTAAGATGACACTGAAAGCAATCAGTAACATTTTCAACAGCAAAAATGGGTTTTAGATCTTATTTATGTATAAATGCGTTTCTCGTGTACGGAATTTTAACAAAAGGAAATGTCTTAGAATAGCCAACGTCTTCTATTAAATGGAGAGAAAAATTAAAATGGTGTCATATTATTTTAAGGACTGCACGGAGAAAAAAAATCGTAAGTAGTCTTTTAATAAATTAAATAGCTCACTGATAATCAGCATTATTTCAATATTACATCGAACGGCATTAATTTATAACAGCTGCGATTGTATGATTATGTATGATTAATTTCTTACGCGGAGAAGCACGCTATGGCCAATATTCTGAAACAGATACTTTCATAATGGTTATATTTGCTTCAAAATGGTTCATTCGTGAATAAATTTGTGATAGTAACTGAATATACAATGTGTATTTCAGTGGCTTCAAACTGGTGGCCCGACGGCTACATGCGACCCCCGAGAAAATTTTGTGTGGCTCGAGAATATGTTTCCCGTAAATAATTTAGCATTGTTATGACATTATTTATTATCGCCAAAACTTGAAGAAAATTTAGAGATTGTTTTGATCGTGGTTTAGCGTTATTTTTGTTACCATTAAAAATGAGCATGAGTGATGCCCAAGGACATCTGAAAATGGACGTAATTAATTTACACTGTGATCTGAATCTTATTCTGATATGTGAAGATACAAATTTAATTAAACCTTTTTTTTTTCATATTTGTCAAAAGATAAATAAATTTCCTCAGTTATGAATTTTTGTAATTAGAATAATCTTAACTAAATGAATAAATAACTAAAACAAATCAGGCTGACTTTTAAGCATCTATAATTCTTGACAATTTTTTATTAATTTTCTCGAAATTTACAAACTTTATCGAAATCGAAACGCTGTCAGGGTTTATAGCGGATAGATGTAGAAAGAAATAAAGATTGCTATAACTATTTACATAAAAATATATGCATTTTCTCTGTATGCGTCACAAATGTTTATGAAGAAAAGGAAGATAATAACGTCTCGTTATTTGTTCTCGAGTTTTGTCTCGCTTGGAAAGTTTTTGTAATTTGTTTATTTTTAGTTTAAGTAAGTAGTTTATTCAACAGATTCAAAATATTTGAAATGAATGTCAGTCTGAAAATTTAATCTTTAACTATCAGAATCACAAAATGGAAACTTCAAACATTTCTTGCCTTTAGGTTTCAGACAGAAAATAAATATAAATCAGACTTTTTTTCCTTTGTTTCATTATTATCTTCATTTGTTTCGATAAAAATTTATTAAATGAAATTTAAAATTTAGTTCATTTTTTTAGCTCAAAGAGACGGTAGTCCAAAAGGGATAAACTCAGAACGGCATTTTGTGGCGTTTCACTGTAAATGGCGGATCATTTTTTTTTTTTTTTAAATTTTGCCACCAAATATTACCATCCAGTGTTATATTTAAAGAAATTAAATAATGAACAATCTGCATGAATGTATGTGAAAAAACGACGGTAGAGTCATCGAATTTTGAGTAACGTAATCCTTCATCCGAACATGGGCACCTGGAAGCTCGAATTTTGTTTTTCGAATTTGTTTTATTATCTATTCCATATTTTGTAAAACTTTAATGAATTTTTGATTAACAAATTCAACCGTTTCAAAGCGAGCAATGGTAACACTGTACGGGAAAAAAAGTTATCTCGAGCGCGCGAAACTATCTATCAGAAATTCTAAAGACATGTTGTTTTCAAATATTTTGTGATATTCTTGAACTGAATTTTATGTAGTTTAAATGAGTACACGAAACGTTAAGAAGTCCCTTTGGGCGTAATATAAAATCTGAAAACTTTCGGATATTTTTATTTATTTATTTATTTTAAATACCTTTTGGTTAAAAAAAATTCCACCCGTCATTTGTTCTCAGATCGTGTATTCGGCCCCCATGCAATTTGAGTTTGAGGCCCTCAACTATGGAATGGACGCGTAATCAAATCTTTGAATGATCATAATTCAATTAACTTTGATGGTTACAATAAATAGTAC